GTCGACGCCGGGAGTTGAACCCGGGCTACATTGGTGGGAGGCGAGTGCTCTCACCACTGCGCCACCCTTGCTCCCCTTGTTCAGTCGAACCTCCGCTAACGGCCAACGCTCTACAACGGCCACTGTTTTTCGTCCCGGCGGACAAAAAAATCATACATTGACTCTTGTTTAAAACTTCTCTACAACGGTCACTTTCTTCTGTCCCCAAGGTGGCCGTTTGTAAAGAAGTTCAACTGTATCAAATACTCCTTTACATCCATCTAACTTTAGGCCTCAGGAATGAGCCCGTCTGTTGTGTTGTATAACGGCATAAAGTTACACTCCGATTCAAACGGTCAACACTTATTTCCATCCGCCAAACTGACATTGACAGATTAATGATTAGTGTATTTATTGTCAGCATATCCTCGGTGCTGTAGGGGTTAAAGTGATGCACTGCTGAGAGACGATGCTCCGAGATCGAATCCTACTCGTGCCATCCTGAATTGTTTTCCCTTAAAAATTGAAGAGACTTAGACTTTAGACTTAGACAGAAATTTCGAGAGACAGAGAAATTTCATGTAAGAAAAGTGAAATGTCTTGTGAGAGCCACGGATAGGAAAAAGTCAGTTTGGTGGATGGAAACAAGACGACTGATTCAAACTTACATTAAGAAACCAAAAGGAAGATTAACCAAGCAGAAACCTAACAGAGCACAAAAGAAAATGATATACACCAAGAAACAAAAAGACCGAGGAAAAAAAGCATTCATTACCTTTGGTTGAGGGTTAGCCAGGAAACCAAAATTAGCGAACAAAACTTCAATGTGAAGTCCAAGTATCATATTCCGACAGCCGCCATTTCCTTCTTCAGCCTATTAAAGAAAGAAATTTTTAAAATCAACCTAAATTTCAAACAAAATGACCAAAAAACTCAAGACCGAGTATTCGAAGCAAAATCAATCAAATAATTTAAAAAACAAAAACATTATTTAAGTTTCAATGTAAATAGCAGTTTCAATTGTACATAGCAAGAAAGTAAGTTTTATCAAGTCTCGTAATGCAGACGGGAATCCTATCTCTATCGATCTGAGCTACGTGAAGGTGTAGCCGTTTTGCAGGGCAAAGGCAGTGCCTTTATTTACTGCCTTCATTTCTCAGTTAATTTTCGTTTTGCAGGACAAAGGCAGTGCCTTTATTTCTCAGTTAATTGAAGACTCTAAGCATTGGTCCGCCTCCGGGAATCGAGCCCACGACCTTCCGACTGGTCTAAATCTGCCTCGGTTGAAAAATATATCCGGTAAGGAGAAAAATATCTCAGTCGCAAAGGTATCTTGTAAAAGTCGTTCACTCATCTACTCAGGCGAAAATAACACTCAGCATCAAATACCCGGTATTTATTTACCTCATTTGCTGGTTTTGAATTAAGAATTTTGACCCAGTCACCCACACTGTTTACATCGGAGTTACCAAAGGATGCCACGTAAGTGGGTAGATCACCTGACATTATGTTAAGCACTATCTCTTGGAGCTTTTTACACTGCGATCCGTCCAAGGTCTGCGGGAAACTTGATAAAAAAGAAGAACATGTGTACACTGAAAACACTCATACAAAATTACAATATGGACCTAACATTAGCCGGTTATCATCCTGGTTAAACATTTCTATTTGTACTTTTATTTCTTTTTCCTCCATTCTATAAAAAAAATAGAGTGCATCAGTGGTACAATATTAATACAAGGTGTTTAGACAAAAAACTACATGTACATAAGGTTAGCAAAGAAATTATGAATGGAGAAGCGCACAGTATAGTACAACTAATTATGGCCCATTAACAAGATTGACACAAAACTACAGAGCTTCAAAAGACGCGGTCATCATCATCGCCGACCGCATTCTAATGATGATGAACAAGTAAATTACTCACATTAGCACTCTTAGGCTACGTGCAAACGGGCCCCACATGTCCCAACAATGTTGGGAGTTGTTGCGTCCGTTTGCACGGGGCTAAAAGTTTTACCGGTTTCAAACTTTGCGCAACAACATGCAACAGGGTGTGCAAAGGGACGCAACATGTAACATCCAACAATGCTGGGAGTTGTTGGTCAACGATGTTGCGTCCGTTTGCACGCAGCCTTACAGTGAAATTTAGTCTATTGAAGTAACCTCTCGGAATTGAAAAGGAATGAAAAGAATTTTGCTTATAAACAAAGCTTGGTACTGAAACTTTGGTGAGGCGAAAGAAAATAAGTTCAGGATAGGTATCAAGAGGACCAGTATAAAATTACTAACATAATTTAATAATTTTATTAGCTTAAAACTGTTAAAATTATTAAATCATGTCAGTAATATTATTATTGCCTTGGTCAGGCGAAAGTAAATAAGTTCAGCATAGCCTTTCTTCAAAAGAAAAAAACTACACTTGAATTAAAAAACAGTTTGAACTGTTAATTAACGAGATGCTTACAGTGATTACAACACCTGTTGCCTTCTCATGAGGCAGCAAGAGGACCAGCATAATATGACTAACATAATTTAATTAGTTTAACAGCTTAAAACTGTTAAAGTTATTAAATTATGTCAGAAATATTATTATTACTTTGGTCAGGCAAAAGAAAATAAGTTCAGGAGAGCCTTTCTTTGAAAGAAAAAAAAACCACACTTGAAATAAAAAACAGCTTGAACTGTTAATTACCGAGATGCTTTCAGTGATTACAACACCTGTTGTCTTTTTATGACGCATCAAGAGGACCAGTATAATATTACTAACATAATTTAATTAATTTAGCAGCTTAAAACTGCTAAAGTTATTAAATCATGTCAGAAATATTATGGCCGATTGTTCTATGGCTACAATAGTACATGCACTCTGATTGGCTGTTTTCTTGTAATGACCGGGCATTACTGGCAAAGTGTCCAACGCATATACAATCTGTTTAACTTGATAAAGGATATCCATGTTATGTTCAGTTAACAGCTGTCAAAGAGGGCATCAGCTGACCCGTGTCACCTGACTGTAACGCATGCTTAAGTGTACAATTCATTGAGGTGGCGTGTTTTTTTTAAGTTATCTGCTGACCAGTTATTGGTTTTAATTGATCACAGGCTCAGGTCCATAATGAAAAGGCCATATAATAAATAACTTCTTAACCTCGTCTGTTCCGCCATTACAGGGATACTCAGACCTCGGCCTTGATGTATTTATCTTGCTATCACTCAGTCAATGCATCAAGGTCTCGGTCCGACATTTCCCTGTAATTAACTCACTCTTGGTTAACAAGCAGAGAGTAAAACATATAATATACTGTCAATAAAACGAGCCTCATTTCCACATTAAAAAAGTCAGCTGAAACCATATTTACTCATATCTATTAACCTATTTATTTATTTCTATGAGCAGGTCTGACAGACATCAAAATTCATAATTGGTTCCATGCCTTGGGGGAATAAAACAAAAGAAATGTATTTTTCATCCCTGAACTAACATGTGATTTCTTTTGTCTTAATCCCCCAAACCTTGGAGGCAGGTATGAATTCTAAAAATTGGTATATTCCTTCTATGGTGGTTTAAATGGAGGCCTGCATCTATAACTTACTGACTAGTCTGACAACATACTACTAACTATATAACTTATAGAACATATAATTAATTAATATGACCAATCGATTTTAAAATATGAACAGACTATAAATTAATGTACCAAAGGTGAACTCAATAAAGTGTTCACACCTTTACCAAACTTTCCCCTTAGTGAATATAGGCTGATAAAGACAAATCATGTTTTTACTTCTTATAAACAGTGAGCTATATTAACCAAACTGTAGACATTCTCGATTTTGACATGCGACTGTTTTAGCAATCACATCTTTCTCATATATTCACCAGGGCAAAAATTCACCATTACATTTCTATCTTCACATACAGCATATATGCAGATATATAAGCAGTTTGACTGAAATGAGCATTTTTGGCCTTTTGAACTTAGTTCAGCTGCAATGAAAGAACGGCGTCTGAATCAATTCACCCAGTCTAAATAATTTGGGTCGGCCTTAATTCGAAATAGGTTCAGCTCATGAAAACTTAGACTCCTGTTGGGAGTCTTCTGAGCTGCCTGTGTCACTCAGCAAAAAAAGATCTCTCCCATATATAAACATGATTTATCTTTTAGCCTTGTATAACCCCCTTGACAATTAGAATTTCCAAAGCATGTACATGTAATTATTATTAACTGTCAGTGGACGTTTCCATGTAGGAAATATAGGCAATTTTTAACACTGTAAAAGTCATCAATGCAAGTTGCAAAAGTGCCACCAGGTTTTTTGTACTGTTAAGGTCCCAGTAAGACATCCATGACTATTGCTTCACACAATTCTCAACGGATTATCAGGCTTCCAGATGATATTATTTCTTACCTGATAGAGCAACCAGTGCGCATGTCAACTCCAAATGTTACTGAAGTGCGAAGAGTGGAGTTATTGCAGGCTCCATTCGCTGATGGGTTAATGATGGTAAGCCAAGTATTACGATCACTACTGAGAAAGATTGCATCTCTAACAACAAAGTCAAGAAAAATCCAACAACATGTGTACTTAGCTTGGGAAACTGTGCCCCTTCAGGAGTGAGGCCAATCCACCACAAGGGAAATGGATAACAGAGGTGAAAACAGGGGGTGGGGGAGAAAGAACATATACATATGTAGCCAATACAGCACCAATTGACCTGCTCACAATTTTGAGGCCAGTGAGTGCCTTACATGAAAACACAGTTAAGGTGGCTCAATACAGTTTTTTAGGGTCAAGCTCCCATGAACGATTTTGGATCAAGAGTTTCCAGTGTCAAGAAATACTACTGAAAGTAAAATAGGCAATGGTGTCATATCGTTACTATGACAACTTCGATGACATTGCAACCATGATCATAACAAATTTTCATCTTTATCTAATACAACTGTGGTGGCAATTTTTTCAAATTTTTGTTTATGACTCTGAAAAACTGTATGGAGCCACCTTAAAGGTGGCACATTATGCTCACTTATATTGACCTTACAAAAAGATACTTGTTGTCGACTGTGACAAGTTTCCCTGCAACAAGAGGTTGACCAATGATATAGCCGGGGTTCCCTGATCGCTGAAATGTAGTGTCTGTACTACCAGCCTATGAACAAGGTAACAAAACAACATTTTTGGTTTGTGTTTGATAAGCTGAATCAACCACCTTTTTGAATTTTAGAGTTGATGCTTTTGTCTTAACCTCTATTAAACGGTCACTGTATCAAGATGAACAGATGTAACAGACTAGTGCAATAGATAATTATACTGTGCATGGCATTGAGAGGTAGAAACCCTTTGAGGTCAATTTGTTGTGTGATGGATATAAATTTTTGCTTTGTCACCACCTTCATTTTCTAAATTAACTCCTTGGTTTGTTAAACCTGTATTAAGTGGCAAGTAACCAGAAGCCGTTCCCCAAAGAGTGGCCAGTATTGCTAAGATTTTTACCATACAGCATTTGACTTAAGTTCTGTTTTTTTAGTTGTTTTAGTAGTGTTATTTGCTGTGAGTAAAATAGCACTTTTGCAGCCTTATGTTGAGAAACTCTTGGCTAACACTACTCCTGAAATGTATTAAAACTCTGTGGAATTTAATATTACAGACGACTGATATTTCCTTGGTTTCTAAATTAACTCCTTGGTTTGTTAAACCTGTATTAAGGTGATTCCATAGTAAAAGAACCTAACATAGATTTTAGCTAAAACTTGGTACACTGATGTAACAAGTCAAGAAGATGATAAAAAAGTAATAAAAAGTGGGGGTCACCGTGCTCGTTTTGACGTCACAATGCTGACAAATACGGCTATTTAGGACCCTTTTACAAAAACCGCGGGCAGCGCAAAACTAGACAAAAAGGAGAGATTTTTTCGATGATGCATGTGACATCACACAGAATTTGACTTTAATATATTGTTTATCCACTTACGTACCAGAAAAATGCCTTTTAATGCCCTTGTTTTTACTTTACGCTCCAAAGTAGAATTAAATTGGACGTGCGCTTTTCGACCCGTGATGGCTCAATCCGTACAATTTAGTAAAATTGCCAAAAAACTGAACATAGATTTGTGCCAATTTTTTTCTCATTGAAAGGAAGCACTGTCCTTATTGAAATCATGAAATAAAAAATGGGGGTCACCGTACTCGTTTTTGCGGTAGAGCTGCAGAAAGTGCGCACCAAACGCATTTTCTCCGATTTTTGAGAGAGGACTGGGGCGAGCTTCGAAATAGAATGTATGTGAAAGGGGAAGAAAGTATTAAAAAATCCGTTTTTACAGAATTTACATCGAGATATCACATTTAGGACACAATGTGATAAAGAAAGTGTTTAAATGAGAATCAAAGTGAGCAAGCACAAGTTAAACATCCACTATCGAGGTTCTCCGAGAGGAGGCCGAACTCAGCAACACGCGTACTGCTTACGTTATGCACATTCCCAAAACATTGAGTCTCACCTCGGCAAGAAACAACCGCAAGCAAAAATTCCAATAGCGTTTCTCTTCAGTCAACTTCATTTTAATAATATTACTCCACATGCTCTTTTTTACGGCGGCCATCTTGTTATGCGCAGTAAGAGATGCGCAGTGCAAAACTAGGGAATCACCTTAAGCGGTAAGTAAGCAGAAGCCATTCCCCAAAGAGTGGCCACTTCATACAGGTTTGACTGTAATATACCAACAGTGGCAGATCCAGGGGAGGGGCCCAGGGACCCTGGTCCCCCCCTCCTTATCTCAGGGTGTGCATGACCCCCCCCACCCCCTTCCTTATCTAAAGGTCTGGATCAGTCACTGACCAGTCACAATGAACACTATTATTATCAACAATTCATACCTTTGAAAAACTGATGGACACTTTCTGCCTCAGATCCAGTCCCATTTCTGATGTGACACTTCCCAGTACAAACTCTACCATGACAGCCACAATGTCAGTTGAACTATTCGAATACTGTACTGTGTACAACACCTTCAAAACAACACAGACACCAGTTATTAGAGCCAAACCCACAACTCAACAACTGACTGTAAAAAGCCGCTAGACAGTATAATTATTAACAAATATAGATACAGCTGCAGCCTCAGGGTTTAAATAATTTAAATCAATTTTACAGCTTGCCATTCAAGTACAGTGTAAACTGTCGCTAGTGTACTAGCCCAACAGTTATTTTAATCAGCCCGAAAACTTTTTTTGATGAGCAGCATTTGATTACAGTTGTTATGTAATTTGAATTCTCCCCCCAAAAAACTTCACTGGCTAGTTGAGCATTTAAGTTAAGAACAGAATTCACTAGCCTGATAGTAAAATCCACTAGCCCTGGGCTATAAGACACTACTTTCTTTGCACTCAAGCCCCATAACATGTATACCCCACCTGCCATGAGCATGTTAGTGTTCATGTGGTCTTACATGCAAATATCATTGAACTTAAATTAAGAAGGTCAAAGAGCCAATACAGTGGTTCCCGTAAATACCATAACCAATGGGCAAAAAAAATTTGGCCATATTAACGGGTGACCTTATTAACAAGGGTTTTTATATAAGAAAATGTATGACTGTTTTGCCATGTGGCCAAAACAGCTTGGCCCTACTAACAAGGTGACCTTATTTCTGAGGTGGCTGTAAGGCGGGGTTCCACTGTAATTGTATGTAATATTATATCTACAACTGTAGTACTGTTTCTTCCTACTTACTTTCCGTGATTCTATAAGAAAGAAATTTGAGGCTATTTGCAAAAAAGCCAACATCACAACAAACTGGCCCCTGGTCCTGGAATCAGGAAACAGTTCTGATCTCTTTTCATAAAAATATTATTTCCAGGAAATCAGGACCACGGTGGCAGAGTGTATAGTATTATTCACCGTTAATCATGATTACAAAGCCAGAACAAAAGAAGAAAATGAATCATATGAAAACTTGTAAAGTGAATAAAAATTTGTTAGGATATTCTCCTCACCTCCAATGCCACATTATTGCAGGTCTTATTATCTGCATTATAGGTGGGGTAGGGAGGCACAGTGAATGGACAGTCAAGAGGTATACCAAGGTATGTTGTACACTTTAAAGGCTGTTTCAGTACCACAGGTACAAAATCAGGAGTGCTGGCAGAGGAACTTGAATTACTGGTTGAATTATTGGTTGAATTATTGATTAGAACTCCAGGATTCTGTATGAATAAGAACAAATAATAATACTGAGCTTAACAGAACTTAACAATGTTCCATATATTCAGTATAACATTATTACAGTATATATAACTTTCTAATTTAGGATATTATAGACTGGCCACACAAGTTTACAAAACATAATCTGACATAAATGAACAAACAAAATAACATAAAAAAGCAATTGGCCAAATTAAACTCAGTGATTTTTTTAAGAAAATGTATTCACATGTATCACTGCACTATCACTACACATAAACAACTACATTTAGCTTTTTTAGTCGGCTGTCGATAGTCAAACCACATTTCTTTCCCCACATTTTGACCATCAGTTTTCGGCTTTTATTTCCTGGAAATTATTTCTGCCACATTTATGGTACAGTCACTCCTCTAATCACAGCTTTGCTCTCATTGGCAACCCATGAATGAATGACAAAACAATCAAACTGTGGCCTTAAAACAACGTTCCAGCGGGATAGCTAAAATAATTCTTTCCCTCTAAAATCAGTCACACAAGTGTTCAGTAACTGTACCTTTGCCACTGTGAATCCTTCATAATAGCTTCTAGCACTGATTGTTGGAAGTGTCTCACAAGCTGAGGAAAGCACTGGAATGGTTCTAGTACATTCTGTGCTATTGTCCTTGCGATATCCTGACAAATAAATCAGCCATACAAATGCCTGTAAAATTTTGTGACTTTGAGGAGCTGTATCTTTGTTAGCTTTTAACAAATCACTTTCAAACTTGGCAATTTTATTGATTTTAAGAGGCTCTTTTCAGTGATGTCAACAGATTTTCCTGAAATTGTCCATGTCAAGGGTTGACAAAAATGGTGAAAAGGTCTATTAAACAGCAGTTGAGGGCCTTATGAAAAGGTTTACACTCCTGTCAATGATCATGAAAGGTGTATCTTCACCACCTGCTGGTCAGGGCTTGAAAAATTTTTTTGCTGGGCAAGTAACTTTAAAAGGTTACTTGCTCGATGGGTGAGGGTCCAGGCAAGTCATCCTCCAATAATTATTAAATCATTAAAAGCCCCAATAGTGATCAGCATTAAATTTCTCCTTGTAATATCAATGCTTTGTAAAACAGAGTGGTCATGAGAATTACGACATGGTCACACAAGATGAATTTGATTGATATTTTATCAACCTCTTCCCACTACTTCTGTAGGAAATGAATAGAGGCAACTGACGAGAATTTAAATTTTGATCTTAGGGTTTAAAGGGTTAACTAAGACAAGAGAGTGGTTGCCCCAGGCATGCAAAATGTGAGAGCTTCTTACCCAGAGGAAGCGCGATAATTTATTTTTTATTTTTATTCTTTTCAAGCCCTGCAGGTACAATGTACAGCTGTATTTTAAACCACTGCATTCCTCAATAATGGCTTTGATAATATCTGATTATACATATAGTTATTAATAATGAGAAATGGCGTTTACAACAAAAGGAATAACTCTGTACACACCTGCGGGATTGTTGTCATTACATTCACTTCCAAACAGTGGCTTGGGAAAAGATAGGAATCCTCTTGCACCATTGTTAAACAAAAGAAGCACTGGATCACCCACCTGAAAATTAATGAAAAGACATTCACCAACAAGACATAGTTACTGTAGTACAAAGGGAATGAAGGAAGGGATTTCACTAAGTGCTAACAAGAGCACAACCAGCTGCTAATTTGGAAAGAAACAAAAGGAAAATAGAACATAAAGAACTTAGCAGCTGTTCAATTTCTTGCCTAATTTTTGCATACACACACTTGAAATCTTGGTGACATGCAGGCCTAGTCAAAAGGAAAATAAAAAGCATTTTTAGAACCAGTGGGATTGCAAAACAAGCTTCAAATGGAAACAGTTGTACTTGTACAGTGTATTGGTATTTACCACAAGATGATACAAGTACAAGTACATTGTATACTGTACCAGTGATCTACTGTAAATGTAACACTTTAGCTTTCTGTTACAGGTGAGACAATCTGTTCATGAGAAGGTACTGTTACAAGTGCATTTGCTATTCTGTTTCATTAATACAGACATTATCTGCCAAAATGTTGCTGATGTAAAGTACAGATTTACATTGTGGTAGTAAACAAGCGTCAGTTTATTTGTTTCACAAACAGTTCCGAAGTATCTTACATCAATGTACAATAATTTGCACACTGTACTCACTATCTGCTTTTTTTCAGTGGCTATCGGAGCCAATGTACATTATTTTGTAGGTGACATTATTTTATGCAATGCATGATATTTTAAGAGCAATCTCCACTTTTCCATTCTTTTTAATCTATTTGGAAAAGGACAAATGTAATAAACTGTGTTTCTCAACGACAATGCATTTTGCGATAATTTTGTATAAACTAAAACAATTTGATTGCATTCATTTTTTGTGATATCCAGAGTATTTATTAAAGTAAAGGGAAAGATTTGATCACCTCAACCTTGATTATTCAGAATATAACAAAAACTCCATTCAATAATAAATAATTTTTAGATATTACCTTTTGTGTCTATAACACTGAAATAGAATGTTGATAGCATTACAGACTGTAGTAGCCCAATCACTTACTTTTGGATGTAGCCCTTTTATAGGCACCCACCCCACCCCTTTGTTTGGTGCTAAAATTTGAATATGTGTCTGAGTAATACATGTAAGTGTAATCACCTTATATGATGAAGCTGCAGTTGTCTGGCCTGTGCCTTCACTGTGATAATCATACACAGCTGATACTGACTGACTTTTGAGATTAGAAAATTCCTCACTTGTACTGGCAGTCTGAACATCATTATAGAAGTTACGAGATTCATCTGATAGATCACAAATTAAAAGAAGGGTTAGTTTCATAAGAATCTATGGTCCTCCATCTGTGTCAGAGTGAAACACAAACATTAAGTTTTATCACCTAGTGTCTTGCGTCAATTTATCAAAGCATAAAAGGATTGAAAAACCTGACACCTAGAGAGCAACAATGTAGCTGCTCAGATGAATACTGCAACTTAACACTGTAAATGAATCAGTAACAAGCTAACTAGAAAAAATGGGCATGTTCTCATTAATTGTGCTGGAAGAAAACCATAATATTATATTACTTTAATGTACAATACCTACATGTAAATTCATTACATGACTAAGTGACACTCGATGTTTTCTCCCTTAATCCAATTAATTCAGCCTTGAACTACATGTTTATTAATTAAATTATTGTACACAAGACACTGATGCAATTTGTTTACAAGGATACACAGTATGTAGTAAGTGAATAATATCTTCCTTTCTTATATACTTATAGAGGTTCTCCTTGCTTGAGCAAAGAAGATGCACATCTATGCTATAACAAGTGAGCTTGCAAAGTACTGTAGATAACAAGGTGGTTTGGTTGAAATACATGCCCATGATAGTGTGTAGTACTGTAGTTTGCAAAATAAATTCAATGATTTGGAATTCAGTACACTGCTTTTTTTCCAACTTATCATGTGCTTAAAACATGGTTCAAATCATCAAGGGTAAAATTATATAGAAAATGTGTGAAGAAAAACAAAAATTACTTCAAGTTATCAAGTGTTCAAGTTACCAAGGGTAAAATTACAGTAAATGTATGAAGGAAATCCAGGGGGAAATCAACTTCGGTTCAAGTTAGCATGAGGTTTGAGTTAGCGAGGGTCAGGTTATCAGGAGTCAACTGTAATGAAAGAGCCATTTAATTGAGGAAATATTTCACAACTTACAGTTATCCCTGATAATACAGAAGAGGCCAGAGCCAGTAGTTTCTGTTTTAAATTGTGTGTTTTGTCTGAAGGTGAAGAGGGCTGCATTGGAGAGGCAAACACGGTCATCACGGCTGCAAGGTAAAGCCAAAAGTCAACAAGGTACAAAAAAACCTCACATGGAGATCTAAACTCGATCAAACCAAACATACAGCTGTAAGGTGCATCTAAGTGCATCTACATAATTTTAAAACTACAACTGCACCCATGAACTTTGTTCCCAAAACCACTTGCCCCAAAATTCTTTTTTTCCTTTTCCAGGGCTGTCACTAATAGCCTGAACAAGAATGCCAGTAGGCTACATTGACTTTTTTTCTTAATTTTCTTGAGGAAGGCCAATTTAACTACCTGAAACATAGATTTGGAGTGGTTTAACCTAAAGGTAATCCTGAAAAAGGAAAGACAATTTGTGGCTTTCAGCAATATGCAATTGTGATATGTCATAATAAACTACCCCTAGCTGGACTCAAAAGAGCAAAACCTTGATGGACCTACTTGTAAATAAAAAAAATATTTCTCTTCTCCACACAACTTTATCTAAGCATATATACATATATAGATGGTACAGGTACAATGTAATTATTAAGTACAATGTCTCACAAAACAAGAATTCTAAAGATCTGGAAATGAAACCTACTTTGTATCTGTATCCTTGCATTCTGTAAATGCCTGTTGATCTGCACTGGTACAATCAGGATCACAACAGCAGTTCACATCACATCCATTGCCAGTCAAATCACATGTACAACCTATTATTCAACCAGTGATTTAAGTCTAACCTTTACTGCATTCAAAGCCAAAGGTTAATTCAAAGATAACATAACAAGAACAGCGAACACTTTTGAATCATTTGAGCAAAATGTTGTTTTTGTTGTTGTTCAAGTTGAATCACAGTAAAGATGTGGTAAAAAGAAGTCTCTTTGAAGGAAGGTCCATAACTACCATGACCGAGAATAGCTAAAAATGCCGCCACCTTGGCGTGAAATATTAACATGGTTGTTAAGTGCTGTACATTGAAAGTCTCAATGTCCTTCACTTCCCATTTCCAGTTCCGGTAGTACCTCCCACCCTATCGCTCGTTTTGGCCACAGAAAAATGTAACATATCTCCCGCTCGCGTTTTATCATCGAGGAAATTGTGAACTCGACTTGTGGGCAAGTCTAAGCTGTTGAAGGAATGTTTAAACAAAGTTGCTGTAATACACAAACATATTTATTGCTTACACATGCAGGGAAGTGTGGGCTGTTCGAGTGACAGCACCCCCAATACAGACATTTTCAAATTCTGAGCAAAAAAACAACAAGCAGCATCAACTACTATTAACTTAACTGATTCATTTAAATTACAATATACCTTATTAGATGCGGGGACATGTGGGCGATCAGAGTGACACAGAGTGACTAGTTGTCAAATGACTATATCTAGAAGGTACATCTGTAGGTTGAATGAAATGAACAGAATTCGCAGCCCTTTTTATACTTTAGTGCCCAGTGGTAGCAGATCAAAATAACAGCAATGTGACTGGTAGTCAATTAGACACAGGGAATTTTTGATGATTCCCAAACTGGGAAAAAAACAGGAAATTCGTGGGGTTTTCTTGGGTTTTGGTTGTAATTTCCCAAATTGGGAAAATGCTACCAAAACCAATATTGGGTTCAAGTAAACCCAATAAAAACCCGCGAATTGGGATTTTAGTGTACCAACTTTAACCCACGAATGGAGTTTTCGCGTCCCATATTTATCCCATTAATGGGATTTTACCAACCCACAAAAACCCCAAAAATGTGATTCAATTGTCCCAGTTGAACCCCAATAGTGGGTTAATACTGGGCCATCTGAAACCCAATGTACGGATTATATTGGAACAGTAATACCCCAACCATGGGCTTTTATTGCCCCAGGTAATCCCCAATTAGTGGTATAAAGTTGGTCCACTTTTATCCCATTAAAGGGATAGTATTGGACCAATTTAAACCCGAGGTATGGGAATATATTGGGATAGTAATACTCCAAAGATGGGTTTTTATTGCCTCAGTTGATCTTCAATAGTGGGATGAAATTGGCCTACATATTTCCTGAATTATGGGATTTTTTTGGTCCAGAATGTCATTGTAATCAATCCAGCAGCCTTTAAAAATATTGGTCCAGTTGTAAAACACAAAATAAAGGTTCGACAATATTAAAATGGTTTACAGTAACATTTATTTTAGATGACAATGCAGGTGTCAATTCAAACTGGTTGATTGTTACTAAACAGGTATTTAATCTGTATCTCTTTATATGTATATATCGTCCAAAAAGTACAATATCATTGAAAAATGTATCATAAAAATATATTAAACTGTTTAACTTAAGTTCATTCATCAATCATAGAGCAATGCCGTTATGCAGAGTCATATTGTCGAAGGCTATTCCGTGCATATATCAAACAGCTCAATTCCTTTATGAACACATCAAATGTCCCTTAAATAACTTCATTTACATGGTTAAGAGCAACACTTATATCAGAACCACTATGGTATTTAGTTATAGCTAAGTCCTACCTGGTAAAAAACAGCGTCAAGTCATAATTATAATAAATGAACCAGTCTCTTGTATAGTTTTTACATAGCGAACATGTCAGAACATTCTTATATTTCCTCTAATACATCGAAGTCTTCGATTTCAATATTCCGCCAGAATATGATTATTCTAAAGGATTCCGTGGACGATTTGCAGCAAAGACCACAGTCATCTGTAGAAACAAACAAGGTGGAAACTTCATCTATAAAAACGAACAAATAGCACCCGACAAGAGACGATCTAGCCTCGTACGATCTCAACGGAGCAACCAAACACGAGTTTCCACACGTACCTTCCTCTTTAATGCGCGATCCAGCTGAGTCATTGTTTAATAGAAGACGATTTTGAAACAAGACAAATGTAAGCAAACCTCACAAGTGAATATTTTGCGTTAAAATCTTTGGATGCATTCATTATAAAGACAATCCGTTTGCAAACCACTGTTGTACTGCACAGAAGTCCGCCTAAAGATTTGAACCAAGAAAACCTGATCTTGTACACATTTCTATTGGTTCAAAAGCCGCACGTGATCGCGCGTCACTAAGCGAAGGCCTGGACGCCAGTTCAAGTACCAAACATGGCGGCAATTCGACGGCACGATGGAGAAGATTCTCTGTCTTTGAAAGCTTTAACTTGTGGTCCGTTTCAGAGTTAAATGCACTTTGCCGACGCTCGCGAAGAGTAAAGCAGTGAGAAGAAAATATTGTATTGTTCTCCCAGGTGAGGGAACCTTTGAAAAAAGGCAGCGGGCCTATTCACAGATGCAGCGAAAAATGTAGTTCGCCGAAAACTCCACGCGAAGCAATCTCATTAATCAGATTGGGCTCGAGTAATTGGGCAAATTTCAGCTCTCAACAGAAGACACCTTGATATCGAGAAAAGTTATGCGCCTAGTGGGATCATTTATAGTTAATTATATTGAAGCGGCTGCATACGATCAAGTGCGTGCACTGAATTACCATACTTTTGGTTTTCAAATAAGCCAACGAAACTTAAACTGTTTTGTTCTAAACTTAGCAGATATGATGTTTATAAAATTAAACTTTTTAAACATTAGTTGTACATTATGTATGTTGGTATTTCAAGAGCAATCTGTCATTTCTTTCAAAACTAAACTCAACATTTGGGAAGATTTACTTGTTACCAAACATTATGTGTATGAAAAATATTATTCTTAATCCTTTTCTGTTTTTGGATTGGAATTTATTCAATATTTCCCGTAAAAGAATATAATTATTGGCCTAACCCTTACACCGTAATGCTAACACAAGATTACTGTATACTTTCCCACCCAATATAATAGTCATAAGAATAACAAATCTAGATTTAATCAAATCCTTTTCCAAGGTGGGGATTTCTTGTCCCTTTCATTCTCCAAAATTGGGAATAACATGTTGCAATATTTCCCAACTTGTGGAAAAATAGCCCCATTATTTTCCCATATTTTGGGAAATAAACCCATTGGTTTCCCAATGTTGGGATCTTGGAATCTATATTGCATATTTTCCCAAACTAAACACGGCATCGGGAAAACGTAACCCTAACTTTAACCAACCCTTTCCCAAGGTGGGGATTTCTTGTCCCTTGCATTTCCCAAAATTGGGAATAACATGTTGAAATATTTCCCAACTTGTGAAAAAATAGTCCCATCATTTTCCCATATTCTGGGGAGAAAACCCATTGGATTCCCAACATTGGTATTTTAAAGAATATTTCGCTTCATTTCCCAAAGTGAACCCAGCATTGGGAAAAATAAACCCAAACTTTTACCAATCATTTCCCATGAGAGGAAAATGTTGTCCCAAACATTTCTCAATAATGGGAAAAATCCCCAACATTTTCCCAGTTTGGGAATTACAAAAAGTTTCCTGTGAGATATGGCACCACTGATTTGTCATTTTCCACTAAATAGGTGACAACTAACTCTAATTAATATAACAATAGCACGCACGTGCTTTGTATGAGGTGAGCTGTATGAAACAAAACTGGTGCTGAACCACACGCGTGTGCACGAGTAGAACGAACAATCATCCTAAAGGACTGGGTTTGAATAAACCAACTTCAAAATGGAAGTCTGTTTGTATCCACTGTCCATTTGATTATGAAGTATTCTTTAGCATGAAATCAGCTGTGAGATTTCACACCCAATAATTTACGCAAACAACATGTAATGTAGTATTCTGCATCGTATAGTTGTCATGTAAATGTTTATAATGTGAAATTTCACACCCAATAATTATAGTATTCTGAACCGTTTGGTTAAAACAAAGGTTGACAAGTAAATAACGTTTGCGAAGTGACTGCTAGACGTTTGTGAACTGACTTCTACACGTTTGCAAACTGATCAGAAGACGTTTGCGAAATGACCATTGGCTAAACGACCGGTTTCTGTAAATTCCACACGTACATGACAAGACAAATGCATATGTTTGTCTGTGAGTTGACACGCTCATGCAGGAACAGAAATCACGCATCACAAACTCGCGCATTTTTGAAAACACCCATCCAAAACGCTTTCGTGTGAGTTACCTGAGGATGAGGATGGTGAAAAGACTGTTCTGTTACTTTGTGTCCTCGTCAGAGTTGCAAATGTACACAGCAAAACAATTTTCACAAAAACCAACCTTGCCGCCATCTTGGCGGAAGGAATGCTTCCCCTGATGCTTTGGAGGCTGGAGAACCGGAGAGAGGACTGGAGCCAAGCTGATGAAATACAGTCGATAGCAGCAGGAAGCCGGCGAATAAGAGTTGAAGTGACAAAAAATTGTTATGGCTGGGAGCAAGGCAAGAGCGATCTTTCGTCAGGTAAACATATGGTCATTTTAAAAAGATTGGGTGAAATAAGAAGACGTGCCATGGCTTTTAAATGACTTATTCTTCGCTGGTTAATCAATATAATCTCGATTGCGGACTAGCGAGGATCGTGTGAAATGTCACGCTCTTTCGAAGAGTCGATAATTTTTGCAAGTTTACGTGTTTTTCTGATATAAGTTTAAGCTTAATAATTATTTCTTCATTTAACTTTGAATCTGATTATTTTGTGACNAGTAAATAACGTTTGCGAAGTGACTGCTAGACGTTTGTGAACTGACTTCTACACGTTTGCAAACTGATCAGAAGACGTTTGCGAAATGACCATTGGCTAAACGACCGGTTTCTGTAAATTCCACACGTACATGACAAGACAAATGCATATGTTTGTCTGTGAGTTGACACGCTCATGCAGGAACAGAAATCACGCATCACAAACTCGCGCATTTTTGAAAACACCCATCCAAAACGCTTTCGTGTGAGTTACCTGAGGATGAGGATGGTGAAAAGACTGTTCTGTTACTTTGTGTCCTCGTCAGAGTTGCAAATGTACACAGCAAAACAATTTTCACAAAAACCAACCTTGCCGCCATCTTGGCGGAAGGAATGCTTCCCCTGATGCTTTGGAGGCTGGAGAACCGGAGAGAGGACTGGAGCCAAGCTGATGAAATACAGTCGATAGCAGCAGGAAGCCGGCGAATAAGAGTTGAAGTGACAAAAAATTGTTATGGCTGGGAGCAAGGCAAGAGCGATCTTTCGTCAGGTAAACATATGGTCATTTTAAAAAGATTGGGTGAAATAAGAAGACGTGCCATGGCTTTTAAATGACTTATTCTTCGCTGGTTAATCAATATAATCTCGATTGCGGACTAGCGAGGATCGTGTGAAATGTCACGCTCTTTCGAAGAGTCGATAATTTTTGCAAGTTTACGTGTTTTTCTGATATAAGTTTAAGCTTAATAATTATTTCTTCATTTAACTTTGAATCTGATTATTTTGTGACATATGAACAAGTAAACAGATAAAACCAAACCTGGGGGTGTGTACGTGGGATGTTCCTTGTTTTGAAAAAATTTTGTGATTTTCAACCAACCAAATCGAACACAAAGGGCCCTGTGGGCAAATCGAAGCTTATATAATTCAAGAAGATAAGTTTTTTATGGGACTTTGAGCGGAAGCTGATCAGAATACAGAACTCATATTGTTCTTATAGATACCTTGGGACATCTAAAATCTGAAGGCTGTCTCTTTAACAGTATTCACTACCATCAACCACCCCTCCCCCACCTAAACACAAATCAGCCCAGTCCCATGGACTCAAGACATTGTATGAAAATCTTACATGCTGTACAAATTGCCATGGTTCGCTTTGTGGGTGAGATGGGCTGAACTCCATACGACAGCATGGAAAAGCTCAAAATTGAATTTTATCCAGGAGATTTATGCCATATTTGGGAGACTCCCGGATGGGACAGGTGGCCTTTATGTTTCTGTCTTTTACCCACTTTTAATACAGTTAATATATATGTTGTGGTTCAATAAATTTTATTTTATCTGTGGCTTGAAATTTTATTTCCTTTTGTACATAGTAACCCAAAAACAAAGGAAAATAAAATTTAAACCAGGGATAAAATTGGACGACAACAGAGAGATTTACCCAAGGCTAAAAGTGAACCTCCCATAAATAAAAGAAAAGAAATCCACTTGGAGTAGAGCCTGCCATCACCTGAAAACTAGTAACTTGTCAGTGGATAACTAAAAAAAAAAACCTGACCTCGATAGGTCGATCTAGCCTGCGATATGGTCTTGTGATACTTGTCAGTGGATACCTTGTTTTGACAGTTGTCAATTGACCACAACATGGATGTGCAATATCAGGTTGCAGGCTACCACACTATCTAGCTAGGAATGCAGGCAGGATGGTTGGAATTGGATGGCACATGACCACCAAAGTTTCTCGGATGGATGGATAACAAAATTTTGTTAGCTGGGGGACTCTGCTTGCACGCACTTTGTGCACGCATGGAGCTCTGCTATTATTATTATTTCTACTTGACAGTTTAATTCATAGAGATATAAGGAAGACAAGTGTTTATTTGGCAATGCTCTTTTTTTAGCTATTTGACTTAGAGTCCTACACGTACACATATTTACTGGGTTGCCCCAAGACAAGAGCTGCTGTTATTATTGACCCTGTTGATACTCAGGTTGGTACATTATACAGTCATGATCATCCCCCTTAGAAATGTCCTAATTCTGATGAAAATAAATGACGGGCATATTTTCTTTGAGGGCTCAGTAAAAGGTTATTGTGAATTTAAATCTTAACAGCCATAATGAACCAGAATTAACAGAAACCCTGAACCTGTTTTGTGGAAAAATGTTAGAGCAGGGTATAACTTCAACTCTGAGTATGGTGAATTTCTTTATTTCTATATGCTGTGCGGCACAAAATTTTTGCTGGTTCATATTTTTATGAGGACAACGGTTAGAACAGAGTTGACCACAACTTGAGTATAGTTTATCGACCTTTGTTTCCATGTATTTTTTTCAGAAAAGAAAAAGGATCGAGACTCTGCTATTTGCAAGGAAAGAGACAATTTAGCCAAGCAGCCATTCATTGATAGAATATTTCTTTTGCATGATTCCTCCAAACTACCAAAAAATGTTAAAAATGTAATACATGATTTACGACTGTTTGGTGATTTCTTGGTTTTGACAGGCTGAGAGGGATGTACGCATACTCAAAGAGTTGGACCTCAAACTGATATATGCAAGTATGTTTAAGTTATCAGTAGGATCTGAATCTGAATTTAAGGCCAAGTGTCTCCTGGATGTACTATTTATTTTGAATTGATTGATTGTCAGCTTAGTTTAATATTAGTGAAAATAACTTCAATTTGTGTCTTACAATTTCAGTGACATGGTACCAGTAAACAGCATAAAACTGATCAACAGAAATTTTGTTGTTCCCCACAGTGAACACACATGTTCATGCTGATCATGTAACTGGTACAGGAATTCTTAAGAGTCTCACAGGCTGCAAAAGTGTTATCTCTAAGCTGAGTGGTGCTAAAGCTGATGTGTTTGTACATGAAGGAGATACAGTTGACTTTGGAGATCAGGTTTGCTAAAAAGACATAATTTTGATAAAAGTGCTATTTATAAGTGGTGCTGTCAACTCTCCCGGATAATCCAGTTTCCATCATAAGGGAAAGTTCATTTAATATGACAAGGGGAGGGGATGAAGATATTGAAACTCGAAGCTTGAAATTTTAGCAGCCCTCCTCGCTAGCGGTTCAATTTTTTAGGAGCCCCCTCCTTGGTAGTCGAAAAAATTTCAGAGCCCCCCCCCCCTCCTCCTTCAATTCCTTTGCTCCCCTGAAAAAAGATCGCTGGACTGTATTAAACATATTTACCGTTATTGTCTTCAATGGTTTATACTATGACAAACTTGAGATACAGTTGTGATACAATTTTCTAAAGCATTTTTAGGATGAACAAGAGTGTAATAATTACTGAGACTACATTTGTTATATCTGTAAACCACGTGATATAGCTGAGTTGCACAGGTCATTAAATTGTTGAGTTGAAAACCATCCGATCTGTATGATGATGTCATGTGTTGGTTTTGAAGTATACAAATTTTCGGAGCCCCCCCTCCTAGCGCAACAATTTTTTCAGAGCCCCCCCTTCGGGTGTCTAAAAATTTTCGGAGCCCCCCCTCAATATCTTCATCCCCCCCCTTG